TGGTGGAAAATTTATTGTTAATTAGTGTTAATTTTAGCAAGAAGAGTTTGAGGACTTTGACAGCTGCAACTGAAGTTTGAACGAAGGAGCAGATGTTTGCAAGTTTGAGGGTTTTTCTATTAATTTAGTCTTGTTTTGCCTGTTGTTCAGAGTGAGAGACTTATTGAAGATTCAGGGGGAGAAATAACTGGCACAAAGACATGAGACGTGCACAGACCCTCCTCACTGTTAGAATGCACTTGTCTTTTCTGATCTTTTCATTCACCGGTTTCTGTCCTCATGTTCTCACTTCTGTGTTTCATCTAAGTTTAGCTGCTTCAGATTTATATAGTACTTGCTTATTTTGTACTGGAAATGGCACAGAGCTCATTGTACCTCATGCATCTTACAGAGAAGTCATTGCAGAATCGCTGAGATATCTCTAGCTTTGCTGCAGTTCACAAGGTTATCGTAGCATCTCCTTGCTCTGAACTGCAGCTGGTGGCTCAGTGTAATCCACAACATCTCAAGATCTCTGGGAAAACTCCCACAGAGAGCAGAAAGGTAGCTCAAGAGCTGCTGCAAACATCTGTTTCTGTCTTCTTTTTCTTGCGCTCCCATGTTACCTCACTCCTAACAAAAATAAGGGACAGCTGTTAAGGTACAGTGCATGGTCACGTACCCTATGGAGATGTTCCTAAACACAAGTGCTGCCTGAAAGCCTGTTTGTTCTTTTATACCAGCTATAAAAAATGCACCATTTTTAACAGCAAATAGAGGAATTACCTGGCAGCACCTGTGCTAAGGAAGGTAGAAGTTCAAATCATGTCTGATGTTCACCAAATACATTCTCAAACCTGGTTCAATAATGGGATTGAAATTGGTATCAAACCCTTTTCAGCATTCTATACTCTTATAAAATGTGAATGTTTTAAGACAGGCAAGGAATACTTTAAAGTATTTCATTATATATTGTATACTTGGCAGGGTATTCTGCAATTTTTAGCAAATATTGGGAAATGACAAAGCCATATATAATAAAGTGTAAAAGAAGCATTAAGTGGGTGTGAGTCTGTTCCAGGAATATTAGGAACTTTTGCTGTCTCAAAATTCATGGGTTTCTGAACTACATCAGCTTTTGATATGGAGGAGAAAAGGCTGATTGATTATATGTTGAAATACATTGAGCACTTCTTCAAGTCTTTGTGTAGTGTTTTCTGGTTAGTAAATAGAACAGAGTGGGTTGGTCAATGTTAGAAGATAGCAAAGCTAGCAATTTTCACAATACTCTTTCAGCTCCCTACAAAGAGATTAAGATGTGACTCTAGCTGAATTAGGATATTAATGTGCTCTGTGCTCTTCATATTGCATCTACTGTCTTGCCATAAATAAGTCTGAACGTGAATTTATTCTGAGATTAATTATTGTCCTTATTTAATATGATTAGCACAAAATAGAGTCATGTCTTTAAGTCTTTAAAATACTCTCTTCCATACAAAAAGATGTTTTATGTTCTGCAACAGAATGTTTTGACTTCTGCCAAACCAGAGTAAGTGAACTACTTATAATCCCTGTGTATTTGTAATTACCAAAGTGGTTTGGATGGCTTTACTTAGTATTAAATCCTGACATCATCTTTAAGTATAGAAATCAAACTTGTTGTAATTAAGATTGTATCAATAAAGTTCTCACATTTCACATCTTCTCCAGTAGTCATAATAAACAAGTGAATCAAAACTGTATGATTCATTGCCTACCTTAAGTATTTGTTCTCTCCGATATTGCCAGGCTACTGACGTGTAAACAGAAATGTAAATATATGTTCGCGGAAGGGTGATTGTTTGGGCTTGCACAATAGTACTGAATCATTGGAGCAGGTCTCCTTGCTCTGGACTGTGGACTTAACAAGTGCTGCTCAGAAGTGCAGCTCCAGAGCACAAGGAGCTTGTTTGGACTTAATGAAGCTTGTGATTTTCTGCTCTAAATATATTCCATCCTAACTGTCATTTCTGAACTAACACTTTTCAGTGCACAGGTCCGTTATGAGATATACAGACTATTCAGATTCAGTGAAAGGTGCTTCTCTTCTAATAGCCTCTGTAATCTGCTGCAGTAACTAGGTTTTATTTAGTAGATGTATGAAAGGAGGAAAAAAAGAGAGAGGACTTTTGCAGCACTTAAGCTATTGTTTCTAGAAAGTTGTTTCAGGCATTCTTCCAAATAAAAGCACAGGTTGTTATGCTTATACAGTTCCAAAAGCTGTTGTACTATTATATGACTGTTTTACTGCTATAGACTAAAGGCCTGAGTACACGGGATTTGCAGGTGAGCATATTTGTATCAATTCCCATGTGTTCACAGGAGGTTTGTGTGTCTATATGCCTGTGTATGTTGGGAAAAGCAGAATATACATGTGTAGAGAATTGTTACAAACATGCTAGTCGCTCCCATGAGACAGCTGATTTTTTGGCTGCGTCTTTATATTACCCCATAAAAAGCTTCTTTAACTCTTACAAATTGTTGTTCAAGTGATTTACTGAGTTTGAGGATGCTGGCCCGAGATTTCAAGCCTGGCAGCTTTTCTGAAGCAACTATTTGAGAATTTTAAAGAAAAGCTAAGAACAGCAGCACAGACCTGCAGAGGTGTGGGTGTTACATGCTGTGCACATGAAACATGTAAGGATAATTGCTGCCCAGATGTTATGCAAAGGTGATGGTGTTAATGAGTAATGCAGTTCGTAGGAAAGTGGGCAGCTTGTAGAGTCGCTTGAGGCAGCAAATTTCCCAGATACAGGAACTAAAATGAATATCCACAAAGTCATGGTGTTTGTGAGTTCCAGAGAAGCGTGACTACTAATTCAAGAATAGCGTGACTTTCATAATAATAATAATGTTTATTTTACTCTAGATAAACTCAAGAAATGTGCCAGGGCTTTGGCCACACCTTCCTCCTCTGCTGCTGCAGGTTTTTGTCCATGCTACCTCCTACATGTTGCCATGAAAAACCTGGATCGCAGGGGCATGCAGTGCCTCCCCAACATTAAATTTAGGTTACGTTGCTTGGGGCCACATATGGTCAAGCTCTGACCATCTCCAGGGATGGAAGGTGATTTGTAGCTTCACTGGGCCCTTTCCCCATCATGTGATCACCTTCTTTGTTAAAGATTTTTTTTTTAAATATCTGGTCATCATTTCCTTTATTGTAACTTGTGTTTGTAGCCCCCCATCCCTTTGCTGTTCACCTCTCAGAAGAATCTGGCTCTGCTTTGTCTGTACCTATTCAGTAGGTATTGAAGGCAGGAACTGGGACCCCATCATCTACCTTCTCTTCTTTCAGCTGCATAGGCATGGATCTCTTGGCTGCTTCTTGTGCACTCAAGGCCCATGACCATCTTGATCGTCCTCCACTGGACTTGCTCAAGTTTGTCAATGTCCTTCTTGTGCTGGGGAGCCAAAACCGGGCACAGCACTCTAGCTGTGGTCTGACAAGTGTCAAATAAAGGAGAAAATTGCTTCCCTAGACCTGCTGTCTTTGCTTTCTTACTAATGGAGTGTGGTATGCAGCTGTCCTTCACCACTCAAGATGATCACTCACTTTGAACCTGTCCACCAGGACCCTCGGGTCCTTTTCTGCAGAGCTACTTTCTATCTGCTCCATGCTCAGTTTCTGCTTGTGCTTGAGACTAATCTGTCCAAGCGCAGCACTTCATATTTGACTGTGATGAGTTTCACAAGGCTGCTCTCAGCCCATTTTTCCAGCCTATTGAAGTGGTAGCCTTATCCAGCAGCTTATCAACCATGCTCCTCAGTTTCACATCACCTACAGACTTGTTGGGCAATGAGATTTTTCCCTATCTCATCCTTCCATGTCATCCCTGAAGTTCAACCAGATGCAGACAGATAGTTTGGTGAAGAGGTGTAACATGCTCTTAGGCCAAGACACAGCTAATTAAAATACAATATCTATCCTCACCTCATCATTAGCTTAGTGGCAGCTCTAGGTAGGAGAGAAGTACTTTTCCTAATTGGCTAATTCTGTACAATTTCTGCTGCTATCTGCTCTGGAGACAGAGGGTTGAACTAGTTGCAACAACAGACTGTTGTAATATGGCTACTACTAGAGTGTGCTCCTCTGCATGTTTTTGTCACTTGTTTTTTGGGGAGAGTTAATTTAGTATCCATTCAAGGCTAAATCTAAAATTCTTGCTTTATCTTCATTATTTAGGCAAGCAAATACTACTCCTGTGTGGTTTTGGGTTTGGTTTTTTTTTTTAAAAAAAAAGGTTATAATGCTGTAGTATTTTACTTCAATATCAAAATGAATCAAATATTGGAAAACTTTGCCTTCTATTGCTTGCAAAAATGCACATCTGCAAACACTACTTTGTATCTTATCAGTTATCTGGTTGTTCAGTTTGTAGTGAAATTTTTACATTAAATCCTTTAGCCATAGATGCTAATCCTTTAGCTACATACTTAAATAATGAGTGGAAACAGTACAGATGTCTGGCAGGTTGAGAGGGAGAAAACCTCAGGTTTCAAGTCTACTTAAACAAGAATGGCTCAGTAAATCCGAGGCAGTACATAGGTAGGGGGGAAACCCACTACTTAGTTTTTCAGCATGAAGAAGTGTTTGTTGAAGGAGAAAATGCCTATTGAAAAGGGGGAAACCATCACCACCTATCATCACCAGCTAATTCTCAGACTAGTTTTCTTTTTTCCTTCTCTTGCCAAGAAATATAATCATTCCATGAGACCATACAGTAAACACATCCTGAGACAGCAGTGCAGAAGAGAAGCTAACTGAGCAATCCTCCTCTTCTGAAGAGCTAGGTAGGGCTGAAGAGGGCTACAGGAAAGCTGAGAAGGGAGGCACCGAGAAGGGTGGGAGCCTGCACAAGGGCTCATTGGCAGAAGAAGGCAGGAACAGGTTACGTTTCAGCTTGGGTGGCTCTGGGAGGAGCAAGTGTTGGGATTAGAGTGTCTTAATGAAATTGTTCCTTTTCTTTTCAGACGCAGACAGTGAGTTTCATGGGGTGGATTTTCTGCCAGAAGATCTCAACGAGGCTCCAGAGGAGATAGGAATGAGGGTGAACAAGAAATACTCTTGTCTACCTGCTGAGGAGAAGGGGATCCACATTATCAACATCCGAGCTATTGAGGATATAGGATATGACCAGCATGAGAGTACAGTGAGTAAAGGACTTGCCAGATGTGTCATAACTGCTGTACTGTGCTTTACCCCTTAGCTTATTTCTCATTCTTTCCATTCCCAGGATGCTCTGAAATCCTCTCCTTCTCTTAGAGGTGCTGAGGAGGGTTGCCACCAGCCACAGTACATGCTGATTTAGTGGGGTTTGTTCTCTGATGTGAAGAAAAGAAGCAAGGGATCCTGGTTTAACCCGTAGCATAAAAAGGAGTTGGTTATTATGAGAGTCATCAATGTGGCAATAAGGCTGTGGCAACTATCAAATTCCAACCAGGAGATTCTGTGATTCTATGATTCTAAATTTCTTTGTCCATATAGAGTAGAACAGAAAAAAAAAATGTCTAAAATTTCATGCAAAAGCTATTGTTAACATAGGCAACGTGAAACTAATATTCTGTAGCATACAATAGAGGGGAGATTTCCAGTGTCATTAATTGTGCCTTGGTTAATTCTTTAACACTGATTTTAAAGAAAATTAGTAATATGAGTACCCAATAGGATTAGGAGTTGGTTATGTCATAAACACATAAAAAGGAGTTTATTTAGGTGATATAGCAGATCTTACTGTGGAAAGATGTACTAGAAGAACAATACTTGATTCATTGTGCTTATGCTTAATTAGGATGGAGTGTGGAAGAATAATTCTGTCAGAGTGTAAATATCTCTCCTGCTGTGGTAAAACTGAAATGTCTTTTCCATGTCTCATTTGCAGCCAAAGGGACATGAGCCCTACATGATCTAAGGCAATGCAGCACTCTCTCTTTTTCAGGGTAGCAGCACTGTGAGAAAGGATGTGGCCTATGAGTATCTTTCAGTATTAACACCAAGAATCTAACAATTTCTTTCTTTAAAAGAGGCTTCTGTGAGTCTTCTGGCTGCATCCCTTTCACAGTGGACTGTGAAATAGCAATTCTCATATATTAATAAATTTGTTGAGGCTTTAGTATCCACAGTGCAGCACCTTCTCCTAAATTGTCAGTCAGCTTTTCAACAGGCAAGTTCAAATAATTGCTGTCCCTCATGAAGTCAGTCCAACAAGTGTAGGAAGGGATTGGGGTCTGAGTCTTTTGCCTGTTCTATCTCCCTGCACTTACCTGAATATTTATTGGTTCAGCCCAGTTTTTCAGAAATTGATGTTTAATTAATTAGTAAGAACATCTTTAAAAATTAAGTACAATTAGTTATCTTAAAAGAAATCCCAGTGTTCCTATATCTTGTTTACAACAACTATTTACTTTGAAGAGGCATTATATCCTGAAAATCCAGTTAGTTACTATTTCTTAATATTTTGAATCTACAGAAATCTGCGTAGCTGAGTTGCCTGCCACAAGCAGACTGACAGCTTGCTTTTAAAAAAATGTGCTGAGTATTTTTTGTAAAAACAAATGCAAGTTACTTGTGAATTTTTATTTATTTATTTGTTTATTTTATTTTAAATGGTCTGTGCATCTCCAAGGATAGAATTGTGAATTATGCATGAGAGGTGCTACTGAAAGTAGAAATGAATAATTGTTAGTACTTTTGTATGTTTCTACAGTTGTAGTTTTTCAGATAAATGCTTGGAAATGGAATTTTTTAAAAACTGACATTTTGTGCATCTTGCAACACTTCCACAGTATTAATTCAAGTCAGGATTAAAGCCTTTGCCACCAGCAGATTGCAAAGTGGCACAGGTTTTATAAGTGGGGAAAAAAAGTGATGAACTCAGTAAGCAGTGAACCCACTTCCCTGGCTATGGTCCATCTGTATTTTTGGCCAAGCTTCATGACCAGCTGGCTCCCTTCAGTCTGCATCTAAGATGATCTCTTTCTCAGATGATCCAAACTTGCAACAGAGAGATAAGAGAAGTGAGAAATGTTTGATGTTAATCTACTTGTCAGAATTGAAACACAGATGTCTTGAGTGGAGAAGGACAGATGATCTTAGTAGTGATTAACCCCCAAAGGAGAAAACCAAATCCACCAAGTAGCTGATTTACGAGCTAGTGTGCTGGTAATTAGATTAAATCCCAGTCATTTTAGCTATTTATTTCTGGCCAATAAAGACCCAGCTGGCTATCAGTAAAATTGCAGGTGTTAACTTGCAAAATTGTTTTGAGTAAGTAGCATGGGGGGGCTCCTCATGTATGGGTGCTGTTTGAAGATAGGTCATTGTGTGCCCCAGGCAAGAAGGAATCCTTGATGCAAGGATGTGGTCTGTCTGGTGTCTGTGTTGGCATGTGTACTCATTATTCTCCTCCTCTCTCCCTCTCTCCACACCCCTATTCCCTGCTTCCAGTTATTAAATTCCCTATCAAAAAATCCAGATGCTGACTGCAAATATGGACTCTACTTCAGAGATGGCAAGAGAAAAGTAGACTACATCCTAGTTTATCATTACAAGAAGTCCTCTGCAGGGAAGACACTCACCAGGAGAGTTCATCATAATGATTCAAGTGCCCGAAGCACCAAGCAGGACCAGCCACTTCCTGGGAAGGGAGTGCAGCTGGAAATGGGGGAAAGTGAACCTCATGTGGACTACCATGAAGATGACAAGAGATTTCGCAGGGAGGAGTATGAAGGGAACCTCGCGGAGGCTGGTCTGGAACTGGAACACGATGAGGATGTAAGGAGCCATTTTGAACAGTTAAAGATAAGGGGGATAACCAGCGGTCAAATCCTGGGAGATGCTGAGCTGTTCTGTGAACCTGACTCTCATCAAGGTTACACAAACTCAACTCTTCCAGAATTTGATTTCAGTTCTGGCAGTGCCATCCTCGCCCACAGATTTAATTTGCTTCACAGGAATGGGCTGTGGTGTTGTTAATGCCCCAGTGAGGTAAAGTTTCTTACTTTTCTTGGCCAGGACTCATGGCACATCTGCTGTTGCAACACAGCTTGTTGATGTGTTGACTTATCTAGAAGTGAGGCTTAAATTGCTCTGAATGCTGATCCCAGTTTGGTGGGTTTACAGTATGGTTTGGATCCACTGGTAATTCCAGTTCTGATGAAAAATAGCTGATCCAGACAGTGACATTTTTATACCTCAGTATAGACTTCAAGAGAATTAAATTTGTTCAGGAGGTTCTGGGACATGCTCTAGCTCGAGCACGTGGGTCTGTATTATGGTTTGCTCTTTCCATTCTTAGATATGAACAGTACAGCTTGTAACACCTTCCACTTGTACCCTGAAAACAGTATATTCTATTAAAAGACCATTAGACTATATAAAAAATGATGTGTGTGAAGTACTGCCAGTGTGTGATTAGTAGAAATAGGCACAGCCGTATTAATTTCAAAGAAAGCTATTACAATTAACTGATCCAACCAATATGCCTGAAACTCCTGTGAGAGGGGGTAAACATTTATGCTGGTTTTATTTACAGGATCTAAAAGCTGAGATTAAGCATCTAGACTTGTGATCAGAGTGTTATAAAAAAGAGAAATCTGCCAGCTATTATTCACAAATTACAGGCATGTACATAATGAGAGATATATATAAATAAAATATATATTTTGGATGGTATAATGCAGAAAACCCTTTCACTTCTCTGTCCCTTGGGTGAAAATAAGACTTGTTTTCCATCAAACTTGCAAGCTGTTGTATTGAACTGGAAGTTTGCCTGTGCCAAGTCATAGATATTTAAATCCTTTGCAAGATGGGAGGTCCCCACCTGTGACATGTAATATGATTTCAAATTATGCAGAAGGGCTCAGGGTTCAAGCCAGGACACTTTAAAAGAGAAAGAACTCTGTCCTTTGAGTACAAGATACCAAACCAGATCAGGAATGTATAGAGATGAAAGCGAACCGCAGGGATTTACATCAGCTTCCATATCCAACACATCAGCGTCGGGGGAAAAACCTGCAATCACTTGGGCTTGAAAAGCGTGCCACAGAGTTGCGTTGGAGGCTTTACTGGTTGCAAAAAGAGCAAAGGTTTCTTCACCAGATGATGTTTACTGAGTCACTTAAAGTCTCTTCAATGAAGTAAATTCAAAGGTGGTTTGGAAGCCATGCCTAATGGGAAGGCTGGCAGTTAGCTATGTCCTCTGAGTAACTGATTTCTAGAAAGCCAGTGCAGAACATGCCTGAGTTGGTACAGCAGCAAGATTAAAAAGATTAATTAGAGTTTCTTTCTCTTTTGTTTGCTGAATGCCTGCTGGTTTGATATCATTCATCCAGTGGCTTTGAAATGGTTACTCCTGTAGGAGTAAATATGGGTGTATGTGGGAGTGCCAGAAGCAAACCCCCATGTCCAGCCATCTAGGAAACTAGCAGGATGCAAGCATACCCCTATATTATCATTGACATTTAATTTTTTTTCTTTTGTTTTGTTTAATTCTTCCTGGCAGTTTTCCTAATTAAAATGTGTAGTGTTTTAATGTAGACATTCACATCTGTATCTGAGGCTGCTCCTTTCTTACTGCAGTTCTGCTCCTTTGAGATCCTGAGCAGCTCTTAGGAGGCAGCAGGGACTCTCTCAGCTCCATTAATTACCACACACTCACGAAATGATACCATTTGGCTGGATGCCCGTGCTTCAAATTTAACTGGCTTAGTCTGTATTTGTGTCTATAGTCATTAGCTTTTAATTTCCCAAACAATTTTTATCTGTTTAACCTTGTGGTAATTGTTCTGGAAGACAATAGCATTTTTGAGTCACATTTTATAGCAGCTCATCAGAGAGAGGTGTTCTGTGATTGTCCTGTTGTTAGAAACTAGCTGTCTCGAGTGAGATTTAGCATGCTGGCAGTAACAGACCGTTTCTTAAATATCTATGAAACGCAAGGGGAAAAATACTTAATTTCTCCTCATCAGTAACCTTTTCTCTTGCCTTTTTTAAAGACTAAAATCCACGGGGTTGGATTTGTCAAAATACATGCACCGTGGAACGTATTGTGTCGAGAGGCAGAATTTCTTAAGCTCAAGATGCCCACAAAAAAGGTGAGTCCTGATTTTCTCTTTTCCCTCCAGAAGGCATAGTTCCAACATATGCTCATCTCTGAGCACCTTACAAACGTAGACTTTTCTTGCCATGAGCATTTTTTAAATAGATAACTAATCTGTACAGAAAATGAGAGTCATAACCTTGCTTGCTTGGGACAGCAGAAAGAATAATGGGAAGCAGGAATGGAAATCAAGAATTCCCAGCTGCTACCACTATCTGTACACGATGCGAGTGATTTCATACACTGCTTCATCCTCTCAGCGTGTTTTAAAAGAGATTGCAATTGATGATGAAATTTATGTGTGGGGTTTAGAGGGTTTTTTCTCACCCAAAACACTAAGACTGCTAAAAATGAACATAAGAGTAACAATTTGTGTGCAGTAGTCTTGCTGGGTTTGGTGACTCTTCATATACATCGTTAGTCATATTTGCAAGAGCTGGGACTACTCTACCGCAAAATAAATTACCTTTCAGAATATTTGAAATATCATTAAAGAAATGACAGTATATTTTCATCAATCCTAAATCATCTGTGATCGATAGCTACCTGTTCAGTGAGCATAGCTAAGAGATGGATTAATATTTAAACACGTACTAAGTGCATGTCCCAGACTGCAGAGGGAAGTCTGTAATGGAGCAAGAGACAGTCTCCAAGCTCAACATCATTTATTACAACACTAAAACCACACTTTTGGTTTGCATTTGATATTAATCCCCATTATTGCCTCACTCTACCACTGATTTTAATCAGAGGCACAAGCAAATAAAAAAAATATGTCTGTTGTGATCCTGCAGTTAAAGCTGCTTTGCCATAAGAGAAAAGTTAGGGCAGGCATTTTGTGGTGTGGGGGGTTTGTGTGAAAGGGGCCACTCAAGCCTGTGGGCATTGCCCAGGAGAAGTGATGTGCCAGAGAACACCCTGACACCCCTAAATCCTTATTCCAGAAGAGCATCTTCCTGCGGTGGGATCCCTGCCCTGGATCTGCACGTAATTTTTGTGGCTCAGAGTGAGAAGCCTGTAATCCTCTTTTGTGACCTGCTAACACAATTCCTGCATTTAGTGCTACAGAACTGCAGCAGACAAGTCAAGATATTTTGGTTCCTTTATGTGGAAGAGGGAAAACTCCTGCAACCTGCACAATATTCCCAGGAATATTGCCCCTGGGAGAGGAGACCACTTTTGTTGTTTTGCACAGGAGCTCCGTAGCTCCTTCATTTCTTTGGTTTGTTGCACCAAGAAAATAGTAAATGCCAGAGGAGCAGGTGTCTCAGGAGTCAGTGCTGAATATTGCACTGATTATTTGGAACCAAACACGGGCCATGCTTTGGATCACAGGAACAGCACTAGGCTTCCTCTGCTTGCCTTGGTTTGACTTTCCCATCCATCTGTGTGTTTCTGAATATTTTAAAGAGGATAAGCTATACCCTCCAATAATTTATTGTGATGTATTTATTTAATTGACAGTTTATTCCTTACAATTCACTCTTCTCTTATGGGTAACGAAAAACCAATACAGTTTTACTGTTTTTCTCTTTGCCCACTCAGATGTATCAGATCAATCAGACCCACGGTCTTCTGAAAAAGATTAACTCTGTAATTCAAAAAATAACGGAGCCCATCCAGCCAAAAGTAGCAGAACACAAACCACAGACGGTGAAACGCCTCTCCTACCCCTTCTCCAGAGAGAAACAGCACCTGTAAGTGAAAACTTTCTGTAAATCTCCATGTCAACAGGTTCCAGCCTTCCTGAGAGCAGCTAAGGCATCACAAGGTGAAAGGGAAAATGAATGCCACCACTTTTAGTGATGACTCTAAAAAATATTTCCATTTTGCAGCAAATTTAGTTTTGGTTTGGTTTTTTTTTATAGCTCACTGTTGAGGAATGAGGCTTTGTAGAGCCCCTCTGTAAAACCTCTGTGCTGCTGTTGTGGTATATAATAAATATCTATATAACTATACGCATCAATTGTTTAGACTGACAAACCAAATTTATAATGCAGTCTACAATAGTCTATTTTCCATGTAAAATAAAATGCTCAGTAAAATCTGCAGCCAGAGATGTGGGTTGATATATTTCAGAATAATTTCATTCATCTGATATGAGCAGCTCACACACGTACTGCCAGCCAGACCTCGACTTTGGAAATGCTATGAAGTTGGTGGTAGCTTTGCCATCGATTTCAGATCAGTAAGACTAGCTGTAAACGTGGGTGTAGGAAAAAATCATAAGGTGGGGCCCAGCCAAAATTTTAACTGCCCTGGATTGCTTTGCTGCTGCTCTTCCTTGGCCAGCATCCCAGAGGAGAAGCTTTGAAGGCCACGTTTAGGTATGTGCCAGCTGGAACAAACAACAGTCCTAGGGCAGGATTTCTTCACCGTACCTACAGGGTTTTTAGTTTTTAATCAAGGGATGCAGAACACTGATGGAGTTGTGTATGTTCATTGGGCCAGTGAATTTGGGTGACATTTGATACGTAGAATATTCCTACAGCAAAGGAACCTGGTGACTCAACTCCTTACCTCAAGTGTGCATGTGCCTTATGCTGTTGGCAGTGGTGGCTTTTTTCAGTGAGACCACCTGTGTCTTTGGTGAATAAGGGAGGCAGGAGTGGCCTCTCAGGGTTTAAGGTACAGAGAAAATGTAAAAATTATTAGGAGAAATTCAAAGCAAGTGGTCAGGAATTCAACTTAAATGAGCACCAACAGCCTTTTTTGTGCCGAAAACCTATAATTATATAAACCTATAAAAATGTAAAACTAGTGAAACGTATAAGCAGCCTCTTTAAAATATAAGAGTTGGGATGAACTGTCTTTTTAAAGAAGTTTCTACAAGCTATTCTTTAATGTTAGCTATGGGAAATCCCCAGGAGAAATGAAAATATTGAAAGGGTCAACAAGAGCAGGAAATTACTGGCTTTTTTTTTTTAACCTAATGGCTTCCTTCTAATCTTTTAACAGATTTGATTTGTCTGACAGAGATTCCTTCTTTGACAGCAAAACGAGAAGCACTATAGTAAGTACTGTATATAAATAATTCGTGGTGGATAGTGCCTTAGTCATGGTGTTAATAGCCCCTTTGCCAGCTTTAATACAATGCCTGTTGTGAGTTTGCCTTCTTTAACCAAATGCCAGGGTGAAATCAGCTATTTAAATTATGAATAAAGCATTTCCAGCTTTAGCTTATGTCTTTGATGCTAACAGGTTGCTGCTGTTTGGAAAATAATTTGGAGCTTCTTTCAAGTTCACAGTTAATCTGGGGCATCGTTTCTCAGTACACATACCACCAGAAAGGAATAGATTTAGACTCTACTGCTGGTTCTGCCACTGGCTACCTGCACCCCTGTGACTCATTTACCTTTTTGTAAATACACATTGGTCTTTTTATAAAATGCTGGGAAATTTCCCAAGACAAATTCCAATGAAACAGCCAGGTATTTACAGGGAGTTGAATTTATAGGTTTTGGGGGTAATTCTCTAGAATGGTGTTAAAAGTGTTGATGTTTATGATTTTTATTTAACATTATTTAACATTAATTTTGATTTAACACTAAAGTTTACATGAAGCAAATGCAACAAGGACAGAAAATTGCATCTTGTTCTGGTTGTTTAAGCATCTGTTCACCTCTGTTAGGCAAGTGTGATGTACACATACGCAGCGCTTCCTGCCTCCGTGTTGGAGGGTCTCTCTGTGCTAGCATGGGACTTTTCCTCTTGTAATTAAATTTCTACAGTTCCTTTACAGAAGTGAAACCTAATGCAGGAATACAATATCACAAACTCCATTTGAGTGCTTCCTTGTGACTTACAGAACATAAAATAGAGTGGGGGAGAAGGTGTAGCCTCCTTTATAGCCACTGAGGGGGGAATTGAGAGGACAGCTCATCTGACATCCAGGGCGGTTGGAAGGGACCATGCCAAGCAGCACTTGCTGCAACACTTTTCAAACTATAACATGGACTCTTTGCCTCATTCCACCGCTGCTATTCGATGTGTTGGAATGTGACTGTGAGCGTGCTTTTATCTTATATTTAACATTAGCCTTTTGGATGCTAAGTGGTTTCAAAAAGAGCTTATATCGCAATTATAGCTGTCTTTTATTGCTACAGTGATAAGGGGTGCAAGATATCTAACTTCCCTTTCCTGCTTTGAAATTCCAGTGTGTGGACCCTGTGATGTAGTTCTCTTGTAGCCTGAAGTGCACTGATTTGATGTGAGCGCAGGTTATCAGGGCTAGGTGAGTTTGACCAGGGGAGGCAGATGAAGCAGCACAGAAGGGAAAAAGAAAAAGACAAACATTGAATTGGTTTATTTGCAATATTTCATTAGAGATTGAAAAAAAGCATAACTTCTGTTTGTAGACTTTCTTTTATACATCCAGGTTTATAGTAAAAAAAAAAAACAACCTTGTAAGTACAAGAAGCTTAAGGGAACAAATGGAGATTAAAAATTCATGACAATAAGCTGTCTGAGAAAGGTAGCAAGACAAAATGTCACCACAGGACAAGAAAGTGAGCAAGACTAACTGAAAAATTGATTGAAACAAAAGGAGCTCATAGCAGAGACTGGGAGGAAGAGCAGAGATGGGTTATTTTTTTAACCACTCAAGGAACACTGGGTATATAACAATAATGCTGGTAGTATGTTGCTTTGTTTTGAAATCCCTGTAAACCACATGGTAATGAAAGACATATTGAATGTTTCCCAGCATCATTTTATTCTGCTTGCATTTCTCTCTTTGTATTCTTGTTTCTTAAAGTTCTCTCCTGCCTCTCTTGTATGTATTTTTAAACCACAGTGCAAATATTGACCCTCCCGCCTACTGCAAAATGAACAGGAATCTAGTCCCTCCCTGTGAAGCTTTGATGAATAGAAACTAAGCCAGAGACCTTTTACTTATTTAAAAAACAAAACAAAACAAACAAAAAAAACACCAAAATAAACAAAAAAAACCCAACAACCAGCCCTTTAACCTGGAATTAGAGAACAACTACAGGCAGCTGAGCTGTGGGATTTGCCTCCTGTGCCCTCGCTCACTTCCCTCCATGAATTGGGCAGGCTGCAGCCGAGTTAGCGAGCATCCCCAGGGAACCGGTCTGTGATCCCCAAACAGGCCAGGCACTGGGCAGCAGATGCTTTTCCCTCTGATTTTCCTCTTCTGCCCGCTCCCCTGCCAGCCTGGTGCCAGCCAAGCGCTTGCCTTGCTGAAGAGCATCGCTGCACGGGAGCTGTGCAGGGCGAAAGCTTGACCGCTCGGGTGGCGTGCTGTGATGTGCAAAGGTTATTTGACAATAAATGCAATAAATCGTAAAATAAATACATTTCTTCTGCTGCTGAGGTCATGCAAGCTCAGAAACTTTAAGGTCAGCCTGTGTTAGTCCAGAGTCTGATAAACGGCTGTGTGGTACCTACACGTTAGGAGACTGAAGCTCTGCTGAAGACCTTGGGTTGAAGCCAGCTTGCACCATCGGAGGCGAGGGAAGAGCTGGCCCAGCACACCACCTAGTCTGGGTAGAAGAGAGCTTCTGATCTTTGATCAATGTCCAATATAAGCAAAAACAGCATTTATGTTATGTGAGTGCTTAGAGGTAATAACCCTCTTTCCCCTGATCAATTATCTCGCTAGCTAGCTATTTAAACCTTGACTGTACAGATAATTCAGTGCAGAAAGCTTGAAGCCCTCCTCTCCTGAATGCCCTGACTTTTATTAAAGAGCGATGACTTCATCGGCATCTTGGTTTTGCCAATATTTGAGCTGTACACAAAAAAGATTGTGCTTCTCACTGGCAATATCTGAAGTAACCCTTTCCTTTCTTTTGTTTTACTTCTATAGGTTTATGAAATATTGAAAAGAACGACATGTACCAAAGCAAAATATAGCATGGGTAAGGAATTTTATTCAGCTTTAAGATCGATATCATTTTCAGGTATTGAAAATAATTGCAAGTTGTTACTGGCTGTGGCGTTTAGGTTTTCCCCCTGCTCTCTAATTTGATGTATGTGAATGTAATTGTTTTATTTGGAAATTTAATTTAATTAATGTAGCTGTTTGGAATTTTTTCGAATGTGAATTTATAGATTCAGTTCTAAATTAAATGGCAAGTGAGCCTATAGCCCCTGCAGATGTTAGTTAGGTCCTTTGCAGCAGGACTGGATGGTGACATAAACCAGTGGATAGTACGTGCTCTGTGTTGGTTCAGTTTTACACCCACTGAACTCGATGACTGTGTTACCATGAATATCAACAACTGCAGTGAAAGTCTATGGCTTGGCCCATTCCTTTTAAGTAGGAACCTCATATTTTAATCACAGGATGACTTTTCAGTGACTTGAGTGAAATGGTCTTAACTGATGACTGCCTGAAACACTGTCCTAAGTGGAACTGAGATTAACCCAGTGGAACAGCCAAGGACTAAGGCATGCACTGAAAGCTGGCCCATCTCTTGGCCCTCCAAACAGTTGTTGCAAGTCAGTGGGTACGACGTTTGCATTGCCACAGCCAGTAGTTTTAGGATTTCAGCCTTAAGGCTTGTGCTGTAGGAACTAAATTCATAATACAGGTAAACATGAATTGCAAGTCAGGTGACCTTAAAAGATTTGGTGGCAGCTTTTCCTGTTTTAGGTGTTATTTACTTTATTTTATACATATGATATATGGGTATATACTTGACTGTGGGACCAAAGTTAACAAATAGTTAATGGTAAACCATATTTATATAAGGTGGAAGGCGGAATTCCCTTATATTCAAGCTTCTTAACAGGCAACCAACTGAAATGAATTTGTGTGAGAAAAGTGTGTGAACATGGGAGAAAATGTTTGGTAACTGTTGGAATCTGTTATAGCATTTATTTGCCTACAAGCAGTTAAATAAAACAATGGGAACCTGAATTACAGGTAGTTCTGTTCAATATTGACCCATCAGCTGCTTAGAAATACATCAAATAATGGAAGAATAATTATGCCAGAAATTATTTCCATGCTTTGACTTTTCTGTTGGAATAACAACATACAATGTATGATTGTTGAGTCCTTATATACACTACATTTTGGTGTTCAGCCAGTATTAACAGAAGTACTGTTTCCCTGTAGCATGGGAAATCCAAATTAATCTGTGACTTTAGGGACCCTTTTTGAGTCTGGTGCTGGATCATTTTCATTGAAAATTACGTACTTGCACTCTTGAAAGGGAAAGGTCATGCAGCTCAGCTTGAAATTTTGCCTTGGATTTGGTTACTCACTTGATTTTTTTTTTCTTTTATTTTCTTTTTTTTTTTGGTCCAGAAATGGGACTCACATTAGAAATTAGTTGAATAGGGCAGAGGCTAAAGGAAAGGAAAGTGTAAGATCATTCTTCTTCCTGAGACTAGCAAGGTCACATAGTATACCTAATAAAAATGTCACTAGCCCAGCCCATCCATGGGTATACTCAGCAGAACTCAATCGGCTCCTTTGTGTTCCAGCACTGGAATGCTGGGTTATAACCCAGCAAAGGTTGCAAACAAACAGATTTGAGCAAACACAGATAATTCTGCAACATTTCTGCCCAGCAGGAAAAAGGTGGCTGCCCAGTGAACACTGCAGTCTTTGTTATTTATTTTGCAAATTTGCAAAGATGTGACTCTGTCTTCGTTGTTAAATACTGATACATAGAAGGGTGCTGTGCAGCTCTTTGGTCAGTCACACAGAATCAGAAAAATAATTTATTTGCTCACTATTTGTTTCTGCCAGAAGCGTGAAAACATTTGCAGACAGTTCATAATACTGTATAATCTTAACTAGGACATTGAAAATTAATGATACTGCAGGATACTGAGCACTCCTGGAGCAGTTCCTCCAGCAGATTATTAATATCTCAAAAATGTTAATGAACTTGAAAAATTCTCATTTCAAGAACAATCAAAAATATCTCAGTGAACCTACAGTGATCTCTTTCCTGGTTCATAGTCTCTGTTCCTTCAGATCCAGTCCCGCACTCTTTTCCTTAGCAATGAACTGATGGGTAACATGGTGCACACTGTGCACATCATTTTTCTTTTCTTTTTCTAAGTCCTTTTAAATTCTCCATGATCCCAGTGGCCAGATTTCTTTTTTTATTATTATATTTATTTTATTGGCATTAATCAGCTTAGCCTTGTACAAAACCAAGTACTTGACTTATTTCTGATTCAGCACCCAAGACTGATCCCTTGAGTCCCTGAATGTATCTTCACGGATAACACGACACCTTCAGACATGGGTAATACTCCATAATTGGAAGTAGCTATATTAATGCCAGCAGCTGCAGCAAGAACATTAGAGAAGTAACGTGCTACAGCCCTCAAAGGTCCAGGTCCAGCCCAGTGACCTTTAGGAATGGTGCAGCGAGCTGCATTGTTGAAGAGCCCCTCGCCATTGTGCTCCTCCAAACTTAGACGTTAACTCCTCCCAACCCATCCGTACTCTGGCCCCAAGTTAAGGAGCAAGACCACCCCTGAGAAGGCAAGACTCCTCCAAGTCCCTTATGCCACATACATTTTATAGATGAAGCATTAACTGCTTTCAGCCTCATGCATGTCACTAATAAACGGATGTGTAAACAGGGAAAGGAGAGGGAAGAAAGAAGGAAACTACCCTTTTAAATAAAAGACGAAAATGTGGTAAATATGGTAAGTATGACGCCAAGGTCTTTTTTATTTCTCTAATCAATCTGAAATCTGAATTCAAAACTCTGTGTGGATGATGCGTGCGTATGCGTGTTCCCGTATGCCATCAATTCCAGCCAGATTCTTCTTGTGATCGAGCCTTCTGCTACACACTTTCAAATCTGCAGGCTTGCCCTTAAATCAAACTGACTTTTCAGAAAATGCAATTTATTTTAATGACTAATTTCAAGTCATTGGCTTCTAATTCTTGATCCTCAAATATATATGACTTCCTCTTGCTCTCTGCAGTTTTCCATTTTGTAAAATGAGTCATGTTTAATAACCTATATGATTAAAAATGAAACTACATGGAAAGGAATGAGATGGCAGAAAAATCGTTATCTGACCAAATGACTGTTATTTTGAGGGAAATCTCCAGGAAGGGTGATAAAGTGAGACTGTCTAGCCATGAAATTGTAAATAATTATTATGTCTTTATTTTTTAAGGGATCACCAGTCTGCTTGCCAATGGAGTTTACAGTGCTGCATATCCTTTGCATGATGTAAGTGATCTCAGAATATATTTTACATATCTTCTATCTGACACCAAGAAATCCTTAATGCGTTACGTATTAATGGCATCATCTCAAACGCGAGTGTTCAGATCCTGACTTCCTGCTCACTTGTATCACGACTCCAATAACTTCTGCAGGTTGTTTCCATCATTCTGCTCACTATTAATGAATTCCCCACCTCTGTTCTACCTTTGATGATAGTAAGTGACATTGGAATGTAACATTGGAAGAGTTGTTTTGGTGTCTTAGCAAACAAAATGCTTCTGTTAGTTTCTGATTTGTGCTTCTGAGGTCCCTAGCATTAGTTCTAGGAAACGTATTTATTCGTGGGGCACTAAGTGGCTAGTTCCCTCACCCACATCTCCCTGGCACCCACTTGCAAATAAGGAGATGTCAGTGGCTTTGTGCCCATGTGATTAGTGGCCACTGGAGGAAAAACCATAAGTGAGAATTTGACATGACATATTTCATGGGACTGAATGTGACCACAAACCTTCTGCTTTTGAGCAGTTTGGTAAGGTGTCAGAGTGTGTTCAACTACAATGTTCATCGAGAGGATTAGAGAGAGGTGGGGAATTTTGGTGGCACTCATATCCGAGCTGGGGATCCCCATCCTGTCAGACGTGCACAGCAGTTGGATGCTGATGACATTTTTACTTAGAGGCTCAAGGTACGACTAGAACTGACAAAGACTCTTAGCTAAACCCTTACGGACAAGCTTGACAGATGTCAAGGGAACGTGGTGGTCATGCTGCTCATGATGAGCCTACAAGTGCTGTCAAGCCTGGTGCCCGTTTTCCAGCATGGGATGTGAAAATGAAGTGTGTCTTCCTAGTTTTCTGCTCCCCTCACTCATACCACGAGTGCTTTATCTTGGCGTAACCGAGACCAGAACAGCCTCTTTATCTGATGTTTATCATAAATGTCAGCCACTCTTAAACTACAGTGATATCGCTTAGAAATCCAGAAAGGTTAAATAAACTTCTCTGCGTGTACTTGTCTCACATCTTTAGACAGCTACTGATAGGCTTGTATATTAGTTATTGTCTTAGTTTACTCCTTTATCATATTTAAAAATAGCTCCAAATTAAAACCTCAAATCTAATCAGCCCTGAGTGTTTGGAGCATCTGGATAGGGATCAGCTCTCTCCGCTGGTCTCTTCTCTTTCAAGTGGACTGAGCTGAACCCCAAATACCGCGGCAATGCCGCATCCTTTCCCTTGACATTTTTAGGCCACCTTTATCACTTATTCATTCCTTTTTCCTCTGTGACAGACATTATTACTCTTTCTTAATGTGCCTGATGACAGAAGACAAAGTGTGCTATGACAAATGAACTCCTAAAATACAGCATTATTTTACAGATTGCTTTTTCTGTTTTTGATGCATTAAGTGAGTGGGATACATGGGTATGCAAGAGGCACAGCAGCTCTGGGCGCGACTCGCTGAATGACGCACATTTTCTTTTTTTAAAGGGTGACTATGAAGGTGAAAACGTTGAACCTAATGACCGAAAAGTAAGTTGATATAAAGGGGGTTTAACATATTCACAAGTGTCCCAGCCTGAAGAGTCACCTGTTGGAATCTGGATGTTTGCCAAGTTGTCACAGAAAATACCACAAAAAGGCACAAAATGCCAAGCAGCAGAAGTACAGAAGTACTTTCCAGTGCTTAAATACGGAATACAGAATGCACTATGGATATGTATAAATTACTAAGCTCCATAATGATACGTTTCTTGCCACGTTGGTAAAAGTATTGACAGCATTCACCTATAACTTCTCCTAAAGTTCAGATGATGTCTTTTCAGGCCAGCTCTGATGAGAATATGCTCAGTCATATTCTGATATCCATATCTGACATAAATCCTGCTTCACTCAACAGTGAGCTCCAGTCTCAGCACTGCAACCTCTGCTGAATTAATGTGCTGCTCATCTGGAGCGTGAGGATCAGAACTGGGGGAGAGGAGGGAGGGGATTGCAAACAGAAATATTCAATCTTTTACCTTTCCCAATAACTTTCATGCTTATCAGAAATGAGGTATTCTCAGCAAAGCTTTAATGTGTGCTGTTCAGCCAGAGACTGCCCCGTGGATTTATACTGATGCGTTGCATCACTTTTTGCATAAGTCTACTTTAAATTGTGTTTTTATTGCCTGTATACTGAAAGATACTTGTTCACTGTAGTAAAACGAGTAGGAATTATTCTGATGAAATACTTTTTCATAAGAAAAAGCACATTTTTTTGCCCTTTGCAGAAATGTTGATTTCTTAAATTCAGAGTGCCGTTACTACATACTCCTGATCACACTTCTCTGCAGAAGATAGGCTTTTTTTCCATATATCAGACAAAAACTGAAGTAGAGAGGTTGTGACCAGTTCTCTTAGGAGGAGCTGTTAAATTTGGGTGCTGTATACATTGGGCTTTCAGACTTTGCCTTTCCAGTTTGTTTCATGGACACATCTCCAAGGAAATGCTGTGGACCAGTGAGGGCTCAGGTCCTAGGAAAAGCAGACCCAAAGCTCTCCAAGTTGGTCATATAAAAATAGGTACCTAAAATTAAAGGTCTTCTGGGCCTCAAGGTGCACATGGCTCCTCAAAAGAGAGCAACTATTATTTTCCACCTCTATTGATATGTGTTAAAAATACCACATACCTGTTATTTCATTATTAAGCAATACGTTGCTTAACCAAAAGTAGGATGAAAGTCCATGTTTTCCCAAAGCATCTGGATTATCATCTTTATGACTAACTTTTCAAACCTCACAAATTCACTCATTTCACAAGTTCACTGCGTGTTTGGAAATATTTACCTTGGCTTTTGACATCCAGTTCCCTCAAATAATCTTTTGGTGTGTTTTGGCATGTCTCTTCTGGTTTCTTGAAGCTTCCTTTAATCTAATCCATTGCTAGGCTAGGCTTCTGCCTTTTTTAACAACAAAATTAAAGAGTTGAGGCATAGTAATGAAGTAAATATTTAGGGCTAGTGTGTTGATCTTCTCTAATCATGTCTTTGAAGCTGTGCTTTGAATATCAGGCTGATAAATGTCAGGATAAATGAGATAATTCTTTTGTACTTTAATCACAAATTGGATTTCAAGTGCTGTACAAAACTGAAACATAGCACTGATGCAAAATCTCCTTAGCGTAGTATTTTGATATGCCTGACCAGCTTAGAAAAGGGATCTAATTTCTAGCAAAAACTTAGCTTGTAAAAATTAAGTAAAAAAATAAAAAATAATAAAAAAAAAAAAATAAAAGGAGGGGTTTTAGCTAGTGCACATGGATGTTGAAGTGACCCGAGTCATTAATTGTTTCCCAGACATAGGCAGCTGGCCTTAAACTTTGGAAATGTGGCTGAAAGAAACCTAAAGCAGAATAAAAATAAAACTGGAAGAACGTTGCTGTTTAATAAAGACCTGCCTTTAGCTTTCAGTTGCTGCTCTTACTATTGTAAGGAAACTAATAAAGACTAACGATTTTGGGTTGCAGAGGGGAAAACCCACAGCCCACTTATATTTTTGACGTCATATTTCTGTAAAAGTTCTATTTTTTTTTTCTTAATGACTCGAACCATATGTATGAGAAGTACAGCAGTTCAGCTTGGAAAGTTTGTGTTAATGATTTGGCAGGAGAATTGCAAAACTGCTCTAGAAACGTTGTTTCCTGTAGGATTTCTCTGTGGTAAAATGTGTGAAGTAGGAATGGGTACAGGCAGCAGCAGGACTGCCAGGCTGCCCGTCCTTGCTTTGCTGTGTGTTGATGGAGAGAAGCAGGAGGACAACTTCTGTCACATTTCTGGTGATAAAATAGCCTACAGATTGAAGCAGTAACATCCTGGTTGGGCTGTTCTTCTATGACCAAGATGAATAATGTTGCCCTCCCTATAAGGATAACTGGCTTTACCCACCAATGGAGGTTTGTGTAACCAAACTCTGAAATTTTCTGCCTTTTTTGTTTGTTTGTTTCTTTACCTGATGTTCGATGAGAAGAAATACCTCGGCAATAATCAGTTCATGCTCTTACATTTGAACGAGCAATACAAGAGGAAAAAGGAAAAAGGTGATGTTGTTGTCAGATGAATTAATGAAAGCAGGAGTGATTATCAAAGCTTCTCCTTGAAATATCAGTAGTTGGTCCAGGAGCATCCTGCTACCAAGTTCATGTCACTTGAGAGAAGCAGTAAAGGGAGACCTGACTGCACAAGCAGATGTAAAGCTTCTCATCCCCTTGTCCCACAGAAAAGGTGATGACTGGGCGGCCACTGAGCACAGTTCATCTTATCCAGTGTTTTTTGTATGCACACTGATTTCTTGTTCACTCTGTTAGCTGAACTGAATTAAGAAAAAAAAATCAGATCTGAGAAACGCTATTTTTATATTTTACAAAGTAAAGGTTAAGTTGAAGGTCTCAGAGGAACCTATTTTTGTGAGGGATTCAATTTTCTAAATCACTAATGGGGATCATTGTTTTCCTTGGCCCATATCCTAACCAAAAGGATGAGTGGAAACCATAGTGTTCTTTTAGTTTAAAGCTGAAAAACTCTTAAGTGCAGCTTTGAGGCACCTCTGTACAGCACCTCTTGATGGATGCTGAATATTAGAGTTTGTATAGTGAAAACAAACCAGTTTATTCTATTCTTTTTCTGCCTTGTAACTCAAAGCATATTCATCTTTCACATCTGTTCTGCTAGATACCTCCTATGGGTCATAAAATCAGGATTACTCTCCCTGTCCCTGCTGTAGTTATCCATCAGTCCAGTTGCTGAAGAGCCTTTTAACGCACTGGAATTCATCACTCTATTATAGCATGCCAAATCATCAGATTTGTTTTTAATACTTCATGTAGACTTGCAGAAGTGTATTGGCAGATTATGTGTCGAATCCACAAAGTGGTGAGACCAGATCCACAGCGTGAGCTCTGCAGTTTGCTGGGACCAAAGGAGAAAAGGCTCATGTACGCGGTGCTTTAGCTTTCACTTTGCCTTTCTGTTTTCCAGCTCCTGTGTGAGGAGTGGGCGAGCTACGGAGTCTTTTATAAATATCAACCAATTGACCTGGTGAGGTGAGAGTTCAGCCCTTAACGTTGTGTTTCCACAGGGCAGCGCTGAAGCTCATGCTGCTGTCCCTACGGGGATGCTCTCCTCAGGTGCCGCCCCCGGGGACTCTGGAGAATGGGAAGTTTGTTGGGAGAAAATGAGTTTCTGTGGGTTTAGAAACACACTGATGTATCCTACCTAGTGTGAAAGCTTGCAGAGGGCATGTTTTTAATGAATTTTGTTTGCTCCTGGTAAAAACTGAGAGTCTGGAGAAAATGAGGTGCTTTTTCAAGACAATTAGCTCACAATCCAAAGATACCAATTTACACAGCAGAAACACCGTGGGGGAAGGAAAAAAAGACTATTTGGACTGACTTGCTTTCATGGTGCCTGTATCTCTGAATTAACTCCAAGCATCATGAGAAAGAGAGTTCTCTGAGAAGAAAAAAATTCCCACAGGTCACCAGATCTTACTTTCTCCATGCTTAGTCCAGCTGCAATTTGTAATTTTAGCCACATTATATTTTAAGAAATAGGGAACATTTCTCTCTCTCATCTCTCTCTTTATTTTATTATTTTTTTTTTAATAATGTATTTCAGAAAATACTTTGGAGAGAAGATCGGGCTGTATTTTGCCTGGCTGGGAGTTTATACACAAATGCTTATTCCAGCTTCAGTTGTGGGGATTATCGTTTTCCTATATGGCTGTGCCACTGTGGATGAGAATATACCAAGGTAAAATAAATAAATAAATAGATTCTATTAGAAGAGGCCACTAGAAATTCAAAGTAAATCATTACCTTTCTCTAGAAATGTTTTGTCACTGATATCTAGGGTGAGCACAGATGAAACTGTGCCTCTTGGTTTCTGGAGCTTGCCCAACACCCTGATCCATGTTTGCTGGCCACAGCTTCCCCAGCTCTGTCTGCCAACTGGCTCTTGCCAGCATAGAGCTCCCACCACTCTCCCTCTTCACACCCTGGATGTTTTGTCTTTTGGAAGTTGTGATTAAAATGAAGCCACCTCTGCATAGAATGAGGAGCTTTCAATCCCACCGATTCCTGCTCCCAGGAATCAGTAGAGTTCTACCAAGGGCTGAGAGTGGGCAGCAAAACTGCAGCATGTTTCTAAATCATCAGCATTTATTGTTAATATTACTTGTGGAGTTTGCATTGATATACTAAAAATAATTCTTGGCTGGTTGCTCAGGTAATTTTGAGTTGTTTATTTGTTTTTTTTTTCCTAACTCGGATCATTATTTTAAAACAAACCAAGAAAATAGTGCTGATGATGGGGTTTATTTCTTCCCATCATAAAATGCTGAGGAGGGCATTGTGTGACATAAAGATGAATCAAGAATACACATGCCTAAAATAAGCAATTGTGGTCAGATTAACAAAACCTTGATGTCCTACTATTTTTAATTTTTTAATAAGCTGTGTATTATAATATTTTTAAAGCCCTGTGATTTTTGCATTATTTGCCCTACATGCATCATCAGCTGTAGATGAAAATTACATCGCTTGTACCAGCGTAAGCACTGAGTAACAAAGCAGATAATGGATATCGAAAAATAGATTGTTTTGTTTAGTTTTGTTCATTAAGATTGCTTTGTACCGCTTCCAACAGTTAAAGGAAGTCAAAGGGAGTGTCACTGTTGCTATTTCACAGATGGAGTGCAGAGAAGTTAAGTTGGGTGAACTCCAGTCTCGATACTCAGCGCTTCCCTTGTACTTTATCTATTGCTGTAGTTAGTATTTCAAAAGAAGAGTGATTTTTATATATATTTTTATTTATTTATTTACTGTAAGATCCTACAGTAAAAAGCATAGAGCCTTAAGCCTCTCGTAACGCACCCTTATTCCCTGGAGCAGAAGTCAGGCTGGAGATGGAGAGAGCAGTCTTCCGTGAGAATTTCAGCCCCTACAACGATGCAGGTTACAGACAGAACTGCTCACTGGGGCAAGAACTGGAAACCACTGTGAGGGTAGTACCTCATGGTCCTATAGATGCTGTGCAGAGCAGAAAATATCATTGAAACATAAAAGATGGAACTGTACTGACCATGCTTTTTTCCATATCTTCTTGTTTCATTGCAGTATGGAAATGTGCGACCAGAGAAACAATATCACCATGTGTCCATTATGTGACAGAACATGCAGTTACTGGAAGATGAGCTCTGCTTGTGCGACTGCTCGTGCAAGTCATCTGTTTGATAACCCTGCAACTGTCTTCTTCTCAGTCTTCATGGCTCTCTGGGGTAAGAAGATGCATACCTTCACGTTAAGTTTTTAATTATTTAAAATACAACAGGAAGAAACAGAAGAGATAAAGCAGTATATTTATACTCAGGCAGTTAATTATATAAAGAACTTATCTTATTTTCTTTCTATTTTTTTTCTTTCCCATGAAACTGTCACCCCCAAATTTATATTCTGGACTGAAAAGCTAAAATTCAGAAAGTTGCTCAAGATGAATATCAAATGAAATTGTTAAGCATCTGTCATAAAACTGCTGTGTGGTATGTCAAAATTTCATTAACGGGATTGCACAGCTTGCCAAAAAAAAAAAAGAAAAAAATCTATTTGCAGAGCCAGCTTCCACTTTAGAACATTACAGAAGAAATGTTTTAATGTACTCTGAGGTTAAGGGGAGGGCTCCGCAGGGAAGTGTAATGGCCTTTAGCGTCTCAGGACAAACCAACATTGATTCTTGAGTGTGCTCCGAGATGCAATTAAGTTTATCAGC